AACAATATATTGTTATGTCTCCGTTCGCTAGTTAATTTTCCGTAACTTCGTTCCAACGAAACTTTAGCGACACAAGTCCTTTCTTAATAAAACTGGTTTATTCTTTTCGAATACAACTTTACGATACACTTAATTTCAACAGTCGCTCTATAACAAACACTATAATTGACGTCTCATGTGGCCAACAATATTTTGTCCGCATACATTCAATTACTCATTACATTGATGTTCCGTCACGTTGTGAACGTCTTATATATACAAGACTAACACATATCTAGTAAATGCTAGGGCATTCTTGAAAAAACAGGATATTTCTAGAAATACGTGGCGTGATACTAGTCACGTGACCTCACTGATGCAACAATATATATATATATATATATGTGTGTGTGTGTGTGTGTGTGTGTGTGTGTGATATTTATTCATATATATTACGAATGCTACAAGATTACAATTTACTGAAACTTGCACTAACTCTCATGAAAAGTTCTGCTACTTCAATAAAGTTTTAAAAACTAATGTAATAGCATTATATAAATATATATACAACTTCAGAGCAGATACTACTTTTATGATGAATCTTAAAGGTACTATACAATATAAATCAGTCAATTGATTCAAAAGGACTTTTTATATCATTTTTTTATCTCAAAATCTTACCATTTACAGTTAAAAGCAGGGGGACTGGTGGCTGGTATAGCTGTGGTTTGGTCATTCCTATGAACAATGATGGTCTTACATCCCTTGTGCAATATTCAGAATTGTATAAGTTAATTCAATAAATATGTCTTGAAGCAGAGCAGCCTTCTACCACGAAATGGACTGGGACTTGACTTTTTTGTTGTTGTTGGCTTTTGCTCGAGAAGAGTAAATGGTTGAGGCATAGGAGGGTCAGTAGTTGACGTTATAACTGAAATAGTGGAGATCTGTTCATCACTATGGGCCATAAAAGAATACCTATCAATCCATCAACTGTAAATCTTATGCAATAAACATGATATGCATTAAAATACTAATATGGTGCAAATAAAACAATGGTACCATAATTCTGTACAGTGGCACTTTTAGCTAAGTTTTATTTTTAAAATAAAAAATGAAAAGCATTAAGGTTAAAAAAAAAAGAATGTTACTATACAATTTTTCTCAACCTGAAGAATGTCAAACCATTCTGATTTAACATATATTAATGTTATTCTTAATAGCATACAAAATGATAATGTAAGTATTTAATTAAAACAAAGTAATATCATTTTACAGGAAACAAAGTAATGTACAATATATAAAAAGATATTAAGAGTGACAATTTTAGTTTCCAATTGTTTAAATAATGGAATATTACCATAGTCACATGATTTATATATGTAATATCAGCATTTTCATTTTATATTAGTAATTTTGCTATATGATATATTTATGCAAAACTTACTTACCACCAATAGTTTTCCATGTGAATTTAAGCCCAAGTTCAATTTCCTATACTGTCTGAATCTCTCAACTTATTATAGATCAGAGCTGAAAAAAATTAACATTTGGCTCTATTAAAATTTTCTCATTGGCTATTCTAATAAATCCTTATGAAGGATACCACTGAAATAATTCAACAGTGATAAGCTTAACAGATTATTTCATGCAATCTAACTCAGGTTTAGACATTGTAGCAATATCAAAAAAGTTAAGATTTCCCTAACCTGAAATTGCATTTCAGATAAATGCTCACCCTCCCCACAAAACAATTAACTAGCATCTTGGTGCTGATTCCAAAATGTTTTTGCATAGATATCATACCTCTGAATAAGCTCTAACTCCTACACATAATAATATGAACTAATCTAGTCTATGATGCATTTGATTATACCCACCACCAATAAGGGGGTGACATCCTACTTACACAGTAATTGTGGAGGCATTAGTTTTTTTCTGAACTAACGTGTTGCAAGAGGGCGGAATCTGAAGCCTGCTCATCCAATAGATCATGTAAATGCAATGTGGCTAGGACAATATTTCAAGCAGCACATACACAAGTTATCAGTGTCAGGGGTGGCCTGTACTACTCTTCCAGGCTGACACTCCTATCCTACTTCTGATCAAGGCGTACATCCACTTAGTCTTGTACTAGTGAAATTACATTCCACCCAAAGCAGAACTCTCCATATCGTGGCTTGGTAGCGAAAAAGCAAGGGTTCTCCCACTTCACTAGAACTGGGAAGGAGGAATCTGTATAAGGAAGAACACCAGAGAGGTGTGCAACAAAACAGAAATAATTTCATTGGCATAAGGTCCCTAGTTATACACTGTGCAATGGTTTGCTGTGTTGAAATGTTATTTAGCCAGTCTTTTCTTTTCCCAGTACAGCTTGGAAGGTATATATGTGTAGATAATGACAGAGCAGTCTTTTGGAAAACCCCATCTAAATACTGGTTGAACACTTTCTGTTATCCCCTAATTGAAGGAGATTTTAGGATAGAAAAGCATTCCTACGAGGTATCACAGGCCACTCAATGAGTTCTGCGTGTTCTTTTTTTTTTTTTTTTACATATTCATTTTTAGTTGTTTGTTTTTACAATATCTGTTGTTGTTGTTATTGTAGGAACAGCTCACTTCCTTAAAGCCTCTGGGAAGATTGGAGAATGGTAGTCATAGAGAAAGGAAACCCAGAGGCTGACTAGACCACAAAGTGATGTAAGTAAATGTCACTCAAAGGTGTCTGGAGTTATCCATGTCCAAGCCTGCAGTATTTCCTTTAGAGGGCATCAATGGATAGGAGCCATGCAATAACAAACTAGATGGGATGTGAAATTAAAAAGATAAAAAGTGTCATCTCTCAAGAAGGAATAGACATGCTAAATGAATTGTTTAATCCATCTGGTCAAAGCGGAAAGAGAGAAATCACAAAAAATAGAGGAATTATATGGCAGGAAAAGATGTTTATTGCCTCTATAAAGAGTTCTGCAAGAAAGGTAACATAATAAAGACCCAGGAGTTTAACAGAGTCTGACAGATTATACAGAAAGAAACTGAAAGGAGTATAATTGAATAGAGCATACAATCATCCTCCCAGGCAGTCCAAGTCCTAGGGAGAAAGAGCAGTCCAGAAATAAGATCAACCTCTCCCTGTGAAAATGATTGAGAGAGGCATCTGAAACTAAAATATCAGAGCATTGTTTCCCAAAACAAGGGAGGAGAAGAAAACACATCTTAAGAGAAAGATCATACGTAGAGGAGTTGGCCAAAGTTTCAAGTTGAGGATTTGTCAAGGCCCTGAAAAGTAAATAGATCTTGATCTTTCAGTTCAGAAGAACTGAACAAGAAGAATGACTAACTAGAAAGGTCCCAAAGGACAGAGCTTAAGTCCACGTGAGTTGGAGAAAGAGATGTACAAGGTTGAAATGGAAGTAAGTGAGCCAACACAACAGTGAGATATGTAGAGATGAAAAAAAATATATGAAAAAAGTCAATAGATCATTGGACATATTCCACTAATCTATCAAGATCTACTGAAACAGACTTGTCTATAGGAAAAAAAGACTCTAGAAAGGCTAGGTTTCATGAAAGAGACAGAACCTCTAGAACAGGAAGAAAAGGAGACCTGAGTCTTAGAAACCAGAAACTCCATATCTCAGAGATATAAAGGATAAAACTGAACATAACTAGTATATGAGGTGATATACACCTCAAAATGAGTAAAATACTGAGTGAGAATCAATAAAGTCTTAGAGAGGCTGACCAGCCAACTATAACAAGCAGACTACCAAAGAAGAAGGGAGGTCATAGTAAAGTATGCTTCCCAGAACATCCATAAAGTAGTGAAAATGCACACCCAATGAGTGCATCCTCCATGAAAAAAACCCTCAGGACTTAGTTGAAATCAGATGAGGCTTGAACCTTGAAAGCACCCAAGAGAAAATCTGTGTGACCCAAGAGTTTCCTGCAAAATGAGTCCACAATTACATAAAGCATAACAGTCCAACAGGACTAGAGTTGAGGGATGGCTCAGAATCGATTCATCTTCAAATTCCCATGTTAACTGGCCTGTCTAGAAGGAGCCACAGAATAAAATGAGGAATTCACATAAAAACTTCTCAGAGGAATAGCACTAAACTGAGAGAGTCTAACTCCAGAAAGTAAGTCATCCCAAATGAGCAAGTCAGAGAAACAAAGAAACCAAGTTAACTTGGTAACTAATGAAGAAAAAATCAATGAAGCATGAAGATGGTAAGCACAATCTTCCCCAGTAAAGCTGTTGGTGATGAAGAAAAGCAGATTGAGGACACATAAAGTCAACAAAGCTGGAAGAAGAGATTGCAGCTTTAGGAAAAAGAAAAGATTCTGACCAAAGGCCACATACAAGGAACTTCAAGGTTGGTGGGGGAGGAAGATGATGCAACTGAAAGTTGATATAAAGCTAATATGGGAAAAATCTGTATTTATATAGAAATCAAGTAAGAAAAGAAAAAATACAAATCCTGGTGTTGAAGTGCATGCAAGAAGCTTGTCTTAGAACTAGCACAAACAAGAAATAATTAAGAAAATATTTATATGCCTAAATTATAAGGATGATGAAGAACAAAGGCGAGAGTACCTAATCCTCATCAATGAGGATGGAAGAATGAGAAACAAAAACAGGATGTAAGAAGAGCTGGTTAAATTTGTCCAAAGAAAAGACAGGGTTAGCAGAACCAACAGATTCAGAAGGCATAAATCCTGGGTTTGAGACAAATAACGTAGGATAAAACCTGCCAGAGAAACTGCAATTGCTACTGAAGTAAAATAAGATCTCAAGAGGCTTCAGAAACATAGCTACAAGGATAGTAATTTAATAAAATCTAAAAAAACTGAATCAACTGAAAGCATTATTAGCAGTAGTAGTTTTTTTTTCTTCATTTTCTTTCTGATGAAACTGAGATTGAATATCTGCCTTTGTTTAAAATCTATCCCACAGTTAAGCATAACAAGTAATATTCCTTTCAAGCATGTCACACTCTTGAACACCTGTTTGAAGTCTTGTGATTTGGTTATGCAAAGACATCAAAGTAACATAAGAAAGATGATAATTCTCATCAGAAGCTTTAAGTGAAATTACATTTAACAGTTAGGCACAACACAAGAGATCCATTATTTAGACAATACAAGAGAAAACAACACCTCTAAACAATTTAATGCCAAGTTAAAAGAAAAGTAACGTTGGGTTTAGACAAAGTGTTCAAATGGAGTATAGCACAAATGCAAGAAGATGCAGTAGTATAGACTAATGTTGATTGCATCATAGACATTAACATTTTCTAACACTGAAAATATATTTACAATAGGTTCTTAACTCCTCTGACACAAAACTATCTCGACCTTCATTTGCTCTGTAAGCATTACTAAAATTTTCAACAGCGCACCAGTCTTTTATACCCCTATATTTTTTGCATCATTGCAGCAACATGTGTTAATCATGTAACCACTCTCCACCAACCATACTGCACCCTCTATACTTGTGCAAGTAGCTTCCTTTACCATTTTGGCACAATCCTCACTTTTGAGAATTGGCATAGACAAATCACGAACACTGGTAAATCAGTGGGGAGGAAGGGTGGGAAGTGTATGAGAGGAGGTGAATACCTATTGGAAATATATTTTCAGTGTTAGAAAATGTTAACTTCCGAAAAGGTACTACCTCTACTCAGATAAAGCTAGAATCATACATTGGAAAGGTGTAAGGGCTAGTGGAGATGCAAAAAACAATCAAACAAGCAGAGAACAACTGCCACGTAAATAACAGGTGTGCCACAAGTAAAATAGAAGGCACCTACTGGATATAGCACTACTTCTGGAACAGGTATGCTTTTTGCCCAGTAAAGAAGAAAGGAAGACACATACGGTGGAATCAAATAGAATACGTGACTAGAGGTAGAGGACTGTATGTGAATAGTCCAAGTGTAGTCCACCCATCACAAGACATCCAGAGGAAGTGCCTTGGATTGATATCGAAATAGCAAAGAGTGGTTACAGCTTGGACAAAATATACAGGGGAAAAAACCTTGGTATATTTTAGAGTATGTCAAGTGTGGTCTAACTTGGCAAAAAACATCCGGTGGAAGATCGTTACATAATATTTGTCTTTTCATATTTTGTATGTAAAAGATGTTGAGATCAATAAGTGTGGTCTGGCCAGGCACCAGGCAAAAACATTTGGGGAAGCACCTTGTGATAATGATGTAGCATGACAAGTGCAGCCTATCCGGGCAGAAAACGTCTAGTGAAAGCGCCTTGTGTAAATAATGGATGTCATGGTCAACAAGAAGTGCCTTTGATTGATAATATAATAATAGTGTATAATATGAAATATAACAGCGATAACCCTCTTTTCACCAAGTGAGTACTATGACTATGAGATAGTTATATCGTACAAATCCCACTCATGAGGAAACCTCCTTGGTCCACCACTCCAGCAACTTCAAACCGTAAGTGACCAGGACCCCCAATGCTCCACTAAAACAAAGAGGGGGGGGGGGAATACGCACTGGGAGGTCCGGTGTTATAGGTGTTTAAAATCAGCACTATAACACAATAATGAACTTAATATAAACCAGAAACAGCATAATAGAATTGAACTTCAAAAACACTCCTCTGCCACCATTCCTTACTGTCATCCTTAAGTCATAAAGGATAATGTCATTGGTCATAGCACCCAAATGCATTGGTGATATTCCATCTATCGGGCAAAATCCAAATGCTGATGAAAAACTTGCCAGCAACTAAGGAGAATCAGTTAATTGTTAGAAGTTGAGTGCTTGAATATACAATGTCTTTTGCTGTCTGCAACCAGTTGTGGGAAGGCAGTAACCCTTAATACTTAGAAATAGCTTTAGTGTAGAATTAAACCAACCCAATAAAAATTCTATAAAGTAAAACACCCAATCCCCACCCTTTTAATTGATGTTATAAATAATATAATAATAATAAAATATAACAGATAGATTGATAGATATTAATAAAAAAAGTGATATACAAATATAGATACACCACAATATAAGCAGCTGGTGGCCATATAGAAAACACCCCATCTCCACAGCGAGTATTATAAAAGTTTACAGATATAGTTCTAAGATATAAAATTAAGCATATCTGGCCAAGCAACACCTGCCATAAGGTGGAATCCTGAAATATGATGTATAATAATGAAATAAGATAAAAAAAATAATAAGACTACTTACCCCAGTCAAAGGCAGACAGATGCGTGTAGAATCGCCACAAGAGGATGATGATAACTGCCTGAGGAAGACAGAGCTATGTTTTGCAGAGAAAGAGTGACAAATGTATTGGAAGTTGTCCATATACTGGCCTGAACAATCTCCTCCAAAAGACAGCTGTGTTGAACAGCTAAAGACCGAGTTAAATAAGAATTTGGTGTGAAGAAACAATATGTAAATGGCAACCTGCCATGGACATGTGCCAGGAGTACGAGTTGACAAACCCAACCCGTGATCATAAGTGAAAGATCATGGGAAACAGGGCAATGCCATAGAACAATTAGATAGGAAGTAGGACAATGAAACGTGGCAACTAATTTCATGAAATAAAGCAGGGGACAAACTGGACAAAGTAAATGATCCAGAACTGAATGGGAATACAGGAAGGAAAAAGAAGGTAAGGAAAAAGGCAAAACAACCTTTCTGGGCAGTCAAAATCCAGGAAAAAGAGTGCCTGATCCAGATAACGAATAACATAAGAGGAATGGTAAAGGATGACATAAAAATTAGAACTACAAGAACCAAATGCCAGGAGGGAAGGATTTAAGTCTTAAGAGAAGAAAAAAAAAGGAACAAATTACAATGCATTCAAAGGGAGAACCAGAAAGGACATGAAAAGCATCATTGAGATCCAAATCCAGCAGAACAAAGGAACGTATCAGATGGACCAGACAAAATAAAATGGAAAAACCCGGGTAAAAGAAAGCATTCTGGAAGAATGAGCATGGAGGGTGTCCGACATGCCAGCTCTATAAAGAGCAACAGTTGAAACAGAAACCCTGATCAAACTCCCCAATGCAGAACTGGGACAGGTGAGGAACAGAAGTACAGGAATATTGGTAATATATGGAAAATAGACTAAAAACAGAAGCAAGACCTATGCACAGACAAAGAGGAAGGGTGAATGACAAGCAAGGAAAGATGCAACATTAGGGGTGAGTCCCCGAGCTGAGATACAGAACCAGACAAAAGTCTCAGAGTTAGATGGAGTGTGGAGATGTCAGAATGAAAACCATCTGTTGGTAGTTGACAGAGGATGGAACATGAGAGAGAAAAATGCAGGTTCTGTTTCTTCAATAAAGACCAGAGTCTCCTACAACAGGAATATTATTAATAGGCATAAAAAGTTTTTAGATAAGATGCAAGAACAATACTTTCATAACAGGAAAGAAATATGAATAGCATAAGCATCATAAACCCGTAGCTGTTAATACCAATTTATACAGTACATACTGGAACACTGTACCATTGTTATCAAGAGGTTATTGGCAACTAATTTCAAAAAAAAAAACAAAGGTTAAATCAAAAAGTCATAAAAGGATACAAACTAACTAAAGCAATAGGTAATTATTCAATTTTCATTTATGCACAAACTTTAATCTTATAACAAGTAACAGCATCAGCATCTCACTATACATCAAACTACATAAGAAAATCCACTTTCTTATATTCAACACTGATTTCCAAAATACTCACTCAATGTTTTTAAACTACTTCATTGTTGCAGCTTCTACTACATCTGAATTAGTCCCACTCAACAGTAAATACAAATCTCTCTGCAAAACTTCAACATCTTTAATAAAATTTAAGAAAACTGTCTTGTGCAAACTCTAAAAAATAAAATATCACCTTCACTATCTTCCTCCATACAATTTCAGTTGAAAACTAATAACAAGAACCTCTTTCATAGAACAATGAAAATTTCCAAATTTGTCTATAAAGCATTGCATCAACCTATAAAGTCTGATCAGGTGACCTAAATGTATAGTAATTTCCAAACATGAACCCTCCTGTCCTAATATCAACAGATAAGACAACACCCACACTGATTCTACATTAATAGTATCTTCTTTAATAAATTCAGCTTGATTGTCTGTAACTTTGAATTAGATAACCACTCACCTCTTCTTTTATTCTAAATAATCTATCACAATTGAATAATTTCAAGTTGTTCAACCTAGGATTTTGGAAATGACCACTTAGAACCTCCTCACTACAATTAACCCTTGGCAAAACTCACTTAAAATGCATTTATCAATTTCATGTACCTTACAAGTCGTTATTATGATCTTATCTTCTATAAATCATTAGCTCCAACACATACTACAGAACAACCTGCTTATTAGCCACTTAAACATCATGTTCTCTCAAATATATGGTCTGCTCCAACACCTGAATAACACACACTCTATCATGCAACTTTATTGGAGCATAAAAATTATCCAAATATGTGTTTCACTTTCATTTACATTGATCAACTACACTGGAGCTTGAATTGGAAGCCAAAGCACAAAAAAGATAAGACTTCAAAAAGCATTTTAGTTTTCACATTTATGCTCATAAAGAAATAAATTCTGTCATTTCTCATGTTTTCTTTAATTTAACATAACACTTCTTGTATACGAAGTGACTAAGTACTTCACCCTATGTAACCCATTTGTAATTCCGTTTTATTAAGATTACTTCTAAAATTTCAAATGCTACATCTGACATTAGACCAGATATCATCACTAGCCTAAACAGTGGCAACGTTATAACTTATTTCTACCATTTATAAATCATACTCACTTCTCGCCTGAAATCTGTTACTGCCCAGTGGCAATTGCAGATGATATTGATAATGTAAATTGTACTTGTAATGCCAAGAGGCATTAGAATTTAGATGTTTTTAGTCTCTAACTCTTTTACTATTTAGCGTTTCTGACTTCCTAGACCTGTAGTATAGAATACCTAATGAACACGTTACTAACCTTTACTCGCACACTACCTCTAGAGAAATCTGACCCACCTCAAGTTATTTACTTGCTGCTTGGTACGTATTACAAACCTGAAGCTGTTTCCTCATTACGTATACGACATGAATTCTGGTACAGTGATATACGTTAAAAAAATATATCAAGTATCCGCTAAAGTTATTTTTTAACAATTAATTTATGTAGAGAGCTTAAAGTAAAAGTTACTAGTCATCTCAATAAATCTAGGCCCGTTTCACGTACTTTTAATTTGTATAAAGTATAATTTAATAAGGGTTAGATATTTTTTCCAACATAAAATTGATCTTTCTCCTTTAAAAATCACTCTTAAAATTATTAAAGTATAAAAGTGATATCCTTTTCCATAGAGAGTGTTTATAAAGTACAGAAGATTGTTTGTTTTAAAGCAAAGCCATATTTCGCAATCTGCTATATCTATCACATGGAATCGAACCTCGGATTTTAACGTTGAAGTTCCTAAACTTATCATTCCCCACAGGAGCAGCTGAACTTGAACAAATTTATTGTTTTCAATTTAAACACACAATTGACAGAAATCACTCCTACCAAATTACATAGGTTGTGAGATGATGAATTTTACTCATTGTTATGGTTTTGTTTACCTTTAATTTATTATTTCTTCTATTATTTAGTTCACCTATGAATTTTTAGTTATACTAAAACACTAACTCACTTTCTAACTAGCCTGCTAGCTAGATGAGCACGTTGAATCCAAGCAAATTTGTATTTCGAAACTGACACAAGCTTCCCCTAGCGATGAGGGACAGATATTAATATTGGGAAATATTCTGTACATTAAAAAGTCACATGAGATGTAACCTCGTTGGCGAACCACAATATAAAAATGATTCATT